TCGATGCTATTTACAGAGCATTAAACGTGTTCATTTACAGATATATCCGTTATCCTCAGATCTTATCAGGAAAACTTAACTATTTGAATTCACTGTCTATTATTCTTTTACTTTGAAATATTAATAACTTTATTTAGAGTACTTTGGAGTTAATGAGGTTACTTCTTTAATCTGTTGACTCATTCAAACTAGGAGTAAACTATGACTTTAACAGAGGAAGCTAAGTATGTTTGGATAATAATAGTTTAACAGTCAGGTTTCAACTTAATTGTTAAACCATAGTCTAATCTTATAAGCAAAGATGAATAGTGGATAACAATTGAATCCAGAAAGCCAGTTTCATCCTATTTGGGGTTCGTCAGATAGATGTACCTGCATCTCACAGTTGATATTCACTCCGGAACTCCGACCCATTACTGGTCGCTTCGAATGCCATCTCGTTATCCACTTAGCTACTACTGAATCCTGATAGTCACTTGTTTGTGTAATGGGGTGACGTTTAAATTCATTTGGTATTGTCTTACATGAATCTTCCCATTGATGTTTAGCATTGCAATTAATCAATCTCTCTTATTGGCATATGTGCATACTGTATGGATTGCTTTGATATTGCCTTAATTCACAAGCATTTTAAGCAAAGATAGATAGTGGTTAGTAGTGGGATCCAAAATGCACGTTTCATCCTATTTGGGGACTTATGAATTAAGGCAATACACACAGTATGCACATATGCCAATACGAGATTAATCAATTGCAGTTCTAAAACATCAATGGGAGGATACATAATCTAATTTGTTAGACAATATACCTTAAGTCTTAAATGATTTCCCTATTCTATATCTAATTATTCTAATGATATTTAAACTAATCGAAACTTCTAAAAAAAAAACATTTATCAATTTCATAGTTACTAATACCTTTTCAACATTATTTTGACAACAATTTTATCACTAAGAGAATAATTCTGAAAGATTAAAATCAAAACTTGCAATTGTATGTTTGTTTGTTTTTGAATAAGAGGAAGAAAGTTTTCAAATAGTCAACCTCGTTTGTTTGTTTTTTTTCTATTTTCAAAATTGATAAGCGGAAAATTTGGTGAATAAAACTTGTCAAAAATTTGTCGCAATCAACTAACATCGGTCTTTTCATCGGTAAAAATTCTGGTCTATACACGCACACGCACACACACACGGAGGGGGAGAGGGAGAGAGGAAAATACCGCTGTTACTATCAAAGTTAAAATATTTCATCTGGAAATGCTTTTCCTACTACCGAATCAATTGATTGACTTCATTTGAATTATAATGTAGATAGTAATTTTTATATTAGACAACCATTAGTCGTTTAATTGACATCGGTTATCTAGATAAAGGTGTTTTTTTTCTTTTGAGAGAGACATATATATATAATTACCACCATTGATGAAACTTATGTTCAGAGGGCGACAAAATAATTATTGTCCAATATTTAGGTGTAATGGTAGTAAACGGGAACACAAACGGAGATTACTATTTATATTTGAACAATAAATTAGAGAAGTTCATGGTGAATCACACAATGGATACTTTGTGATGGTGGAGAAGATTTGTAGCTCAGTTGGATGATTTGATCATGGAGCTTTCGTCGTTCTTTTGAACGACATCATCAGACTTCTACCTGAAGTTTGTGCTGATGATGTTGTTCAAAAGAATGATGAGAGCTGCACGACCAAACGATCCAGCTCAGAGAAAAAAAAACTCCATCACAAAATGAAAGCTTCATTTGCAAGCCTTCCATTATTTATTCTTCACAATTTGTATGGTTCTTCCAGTCCACAATTCTTTTTTAGTTTCACTTCTGTTCTTTTCAGCTCGATTTTCTTAATCTTCTTCGGTCAAGTTTTCCACTTCCGATTACTGTTATACACTACTTATGTTTGTCGATATAAGTAGCTTACACCGCACACTCATGACTTCACATTTTTCTATGTGTTTCTGAATTAGCATTATCATATTATTTGTAAAATTAAGGCAAGTGAAGATGAAACACTTTTTTTGTTTTAACTCCATAACCCCGACCGATTTTGATCTTACTTTTTCTAAGTGTATTTTATTCTGTTGGACATGTGAAGCCTAAATTAAGATACACTTTAAGGCACCAATAAATATTTACTCTTTAAATTACCTCTGTTACTTCAATCGTATCATTCTACTTGTTCCCCTTTTCAATCTTGTAATTATATACTTCGTTATATTTCATTTTATCGCTTATCACAACAGTTTGACGCTCAGTCTTGCATATTTTAAGTTTGTCAACTGATAGCAAAGTGTTACACATTCAACTACATCATTTATTTAGAAAATTTAATGAATACTGTTATCTGATTACATAAATGAACTTCATTTGTAACTATTAGAAAACTTGGTTTTCAACTTATAGTCTATAAATCCTAACCCCATTTCATCAATTTTGACAGTTTATCATTATCCCGTGTATTATAAGTACACAAGTATGTTTATGATTACTTATTTGTAAAATGACTTATCCGAGCAGTCAAAGATACTTATTTAATTATTTAAAGGATACAAATCACGATACAATAGGTCATCTAAATAATGCGCACATGAAAGGAATGCTAATAAGGAGAATAAGACTGTGAAACTAAAACATAAATAGCGCCACAGTAGTATCACGACTGGCTTCCGTTCTGAACTACGTGTGGCAAGAGCTCAAGTCACTGAGTTGCATGATCTCTAAGACACCAACTAGTAAGTTGTGATGACCCTACATGTGCCAGTCCTATGGAGCTATTAATAATAACACAAAACAATGCCATAAAGAGACCAAGTCTTCCTTTTTACATTCATTCTCAACGTCAGTAGGTAGTGCGTGCTGTTGAATTACCTTAAACGACAATCGTGAAACCTGTCCAAACCACCAAACTCAGTGTTACGAGATGGTGACACTAACTAAGTTATCCTTACTAAACCTGGAAATACACTGCAAAGCCCCAGTGTTAACAACATGGTGTTATAACTAGATGTTTGCAGTGATTGGATACAAACAGGGTCAAATAAATTTAGCTCAGATAGTAGGTTTTCACAAGGGCAGTGTAGAACTCCTGTCAACGACACATTTCAGACCAAATGTTTTATTATCAGACTTATCATAACGGCACTAAATTTCGTAAAGTTTGACTTAAGACGTCCTGACGATCATCATATCCAGGTCAGTCTCATCCATCAGATCACAATCAGCATTGATACCTTATCTCAAATCCAACAATAATTTATCACAAAGGTTGGTTCCAGTCACTTGGTCATGGCATCAGTTTGTGTACACAACCTCAAAAATGCTGATAAAATTCTCAAGAAAACATCATTCCTTAACAGACAATTAAATAGCAAAGAGCCAATCAACTGGAGGCAGCTATGAACTCAAAAATCACAATGGTTGTTTGTCTGCGACAAATGTAGTGGCGTTCCAGGATTCGGCGGACGATGAAGCTGTAGTCGATGCATGCAGGACCTGGACGGAAGACAGTTTACCTCTCAAGAGCCAGCTCTCCCTGAATTTTGTACAATTTGTGAAGCATTATGAAGCTCAATGACCGATAAGCAATCATGAGTAGCCGATTTCGCAGTGAGGAATGCGCTTTTAGAGCTGCTTTTAACCACTGATTGATTTTATGAATGGTTTGATCTCGGACGAATAATAACTGAATAAACACCTTTCTATTTCCAGGTCTGTAAACTTTGTTCTGTATTCGGCAATATGTCTTTAGCCGTTGTAATAATGAAATATAGTATATGGAGACATTCGCGCAACACTTCCATAATGTGAAATAGTTTACGGAAGATTTCACTAAAATCATTTCAAAAGTATAATAAACCTCATGTGTTCTCGTTTTAAAAACACATCATCTTTTATAATGACCATCTCAATTGCTGGTAAAGGTTGATTCCATGATAATCATGTGTCAAATTCAATGAACAACAGTAGTAAGGTTAAACTATCATCCGCGAAATTGTACACCAAATAATGGCGTAGAGTATATTCGATTTCATATTCGTTTCATTTATAGAGTACTAGTACGGTAGCAGCTAGTCATATGTATACTCGGGTAGTCATTCCGGCATCATTTGACATTCTTTGTGGTAGGAATCATATGCACGCTTAATCCAACCTATTCATACGCATGCTAAGTCATAAGAAAAGAGGGAATTAAATTTCCAATATCAAAATACGACAGTTAGTAGGACAATTCCCACCCTTATCATAACGTTTGGGATATGATTATTTGAAATACAAAACAGAGCAAGTGCTCAGAAATAAGTCAAATGTGTAGCTATAATCTAAGCTCACACTTTATACGGATATCGTTTGGAAACAAGCATCATTCAATCAAGATTGCAGAAACGCTGGCTTGACGAGTGCTTAAAAACACGGAACATGGTTAAGGAGCTTTATATCAATTGCTTCCAACTATATAACAAGTGTCTTTTTAAACAATAGTGATCTATCTTAACTGGAACACAACGGTTGCGGCACGGATACTTCCCACTATTTCAACAGTTAAACAGACAAACTAGCTAGTGTTATTTATAACATGTCATTTAATTTGGTAGAGTATGCAGGTAGAAGCATTCTTTATGAGGATGTACTTCATCTAGACCTGTTGAGTATGAAATACAAAATGGTCTTCAAACAACCATTGATACTAATTTCATCAAGGTATAATTCTTAAGATTATCAGTTCCTTATAAACACCCGGGAATACTTGGTTTGCATGCCATGAAGAGGCCTCAGTTAAATTTCGCTAGTTGCTGCAAGTAGTGATTCTATAAGGAGGAACGGAATATATATCAGTCTTTTGTCTCAAGCGACAAGGATACGCGACAGCTATTGATCAGTCTACAATCATATGATTACAGGTCAACAGTTACACATTTCCATTTCCAGCACACATACAGTAGGATGCTAGTACAGAGAACCGTAAATATCATATCATAAATAATATATATGAGCATAAAAGTATATTAATAGATTATAAAAGACAAAAATATAAGTCAAACAAGCGGTGGGTATGAGAACCGAGTTTTAGAAGTATTCCAATGCATCACTTTCCTTTTTATCTTTAACGACAGAGTGTAGTTGAAGTTCTTTGCCATGACAGGGTAGTGGTTCAAAAATTCGAGCGTGAATATAATCACCATCATCTATTTTCACCTGTAAATCTCCGTTAAAAGGAAACCATAAACGTTACCTTAACGAAGTGATTTGTTCCTGCGACTACCTGACTAGTGATCTGGACGATTTCAAATGAACGAGGTTTTCGTCCGATATGGGACTCCAAATTACTTTCTAACTGAGAATATTAAGCGGAATATGTGGAACTTTACCAGAGTTTTAAGTTTTTCTTTCTCCTCTGCAGACGGCTCCCTAGGTGTTCCTATTCCACCGCAGCATAAAGGCATTCTACTGATAAGTGCGCAAAACCCAATCAAAGTTACCCGCCGTTCCGTGCCAACGACCTTGAACACAGTTGTAGGGAGGCATTCCAGATTTAAGATTTGCCTAATATAGACAGAAGGCCTACGATTTATATTATTCCTTTTCTAGTATGCTTCTGTGGGTGTCCAGTCTACTCTTGAATGACTCAACTGAAGGTGCGAACACCACTGCTTCAGGTAAAAAATTCCAAGTGTTAAATCGGTATGCCATTTTGTTCGTTCTCGGCTTTTCTACTCGCCTGTTATGTCCTCTGAAATGCCCCGATCTAGTGGAAAGAAAATTATGGAGTATATTAGGCTCAAAATTAGTTCTTAGTATTCTATGCAACAAAATCAGATCACCTCGTAATCTGTGATAGAACAGAATAAAGCGGTCCAGCTTTTAAAGCCGCTCTTTGTAAACTTCGGAGTTCTGGAACTGCAGAGATATCTGCCCTCCATACTTTTCCGGGACATCCGATCCACTTTTTAAACAGGGGATTGCAGCCTGAACGCATTTCTCTAGCTTAGTTCCTACTAAGGTTGTGTTTAGTGTAGTGAACATGGTAATGTCTAATTTATTGAGTGTCCGTTTTAAAGTCTACAGGGTTCGAAACCCAATAGCTGCGACCTCCCGGCAATGGGATGTCGTCTTAATATCGTGACCCACTGTCACCCTAAGATCCTTATGGGACCAGACCACTGGTGCTAGCACTTCCCTTATGCAGTACTTATTAACCTTTCTTTCAGTTCGATTTCATTTAGGCATAGTTCTTTTAATCTCTAGAAGCCCAACATCTCCTGTAACTCTTTATCTAAACTCGCTTTTCTATGAACAAACTAACCTTGTAGTCGAGCGTTGTCCCCACTTTGTGGAAACAGGATTTCATTATTGATTCTTTGTTGAGTACACCGTCCGATAATGAACTTGTCCCTATGGTTACGTTTCAGTACTCCTTTACTCTGAGAATTGTCGAGAAGCAGCATAGAATAATAATTTGCGAGCACTTCAAATTGCTCTGTGCATCCTAGTAAGTTGGTCCAAATTAAAGTTAATGCTTGTCAACTCTTCTAACTGTCTTCATACTCGTTATAAACACGGATGTCATCAGGATAATATTAAAAGTATCATGTAGTATACCCTTTTATCATAATGGTTTAGAGGTAATGGAAATTCAAGACCCTAAGGCGGTAAGTATTCCATAATCAATATAGTACCTGGCACATGCTTATATATTCCATGATACCAATAGCACAGTGAGATAAGATTGGTGAGGTGAATTTGAGAACATTAAATTTAGTAACTAATCAGACAAAAGATATCATTTAGGGCGAAAATAAGAATTAGTGAAATGAGAAGATCTTATAATGTAATTTTAGAACTTAAGATCTAAAGAAAGAAAGTTTGAATGCCCTTGATACATTGAGGACGATGTTGAGCCTTATCACACAAAGTTTCAAACCACTTGTTACGCTAAGCATGAGGAGTTAAACTAGTTAGCCTGAGCCTAACTCAATTGCTCAATCCAAGGATCAACGGCTACATTTACGGATACCGTATTTGCTTACCCTCCCCAACCTTTTTCCCAACCTAGTTTCCATGCTTGCCATCATCGCTCATCAAGGTATTTAGTGGAAAGGCATACGTAAAACTCTCCGTGTGATCGGTCGGAGTGACATTCTTACCTGAAACTTTGTGTCCAATCTCAGGATTGCTGACATGATGGTTCTAAAGCATATGAGCATTAGTCAAAAGATACCTATCGTTGAATATTATTAGCTTCCTAGCATCCCCCATTCTTGTATGGCATATTTCATACCTGTAAAGTAGGACGGGGCTAACTGCTGCTTGGTAAACTCGTTTTTTAGTTGCAGTCAGTTATATTATTAATCACACAAGTACAGCAAGTTGTAGAAAGCCTCCATGGTTTCTGGATTCGTGCCGAGAATTCGACCAACACAAACCCACTAGGGTGAATGAAACTTCCTAGATAAGTAAGGTGATCAATACACTCAACTAATTTACACTCTACCATTAGTTTACGTGCTGATGTAGACCACATCAGAAACAACATCCTCCCTTTATGGGTAAACAATCACACTGATGTTTGCATTGTTGATCAGAGTGATCAGAAGAATTCTGCGTTCTACCAGAATCTTCCCAAAATGGGGGTTTGAAGTTACCACTTAGTGTCCCTCAGTTGTATCCAAGGGGCTCAGACGTGCGAGGTCAAAAATTTGTCCTTCAGTGATCAATAAAAGTGTCACGTCTACGTTAAAACTCTGAAAACGAGGAGTAAGGAGATAGAAAATTTCAACTTGAAGAATGCATGTTGAGCGATTTTAAATATGACGTTTCTTTCACGATATATAGCATATATAGCTGCCTTTTGTTTGAATACACCACCCAATAGTAACGATAACGACATAGTCAAACATCAATACAAATGGATCGTTCCTTAAAAGTACAAACGAGAAACTCTGAAATTTGTTCTTTCACACCTCCTTCTAGATCTGAAGTATGTCGATTTCGATATTCTCCTTTTTTTCAAAGGTGCGTCACAATAATTACCAACGAAGATGCTACCAAAAACAACTCGAAGGTTTATACGCTCCCACAAATCGAGCCTACAGAGAGCTAGGGCATCCTTTGGTCGTTGATGCAACACTTTTGATTAAAAGTACCCTTGGTTACATTCCTCAACGTCCTGTAAGTGGTATTTGATACACGTATCCACACTACGCTGACTGTATTCAGTCCTATATAATCACTAAAACTTTTATGATCCTGGTAAGAGCTGAATGACTAAAACCATGTTCACGTGGTCAAATTGGTCTGTGACAATAAAATTTATTTTAGTAATCAATTTAAATAAGATCATTTATGCTAAATTACTCAAGTAACAGGCAATAAGGCTAACGGTATAGCATGAAAGCTATGAATCTAACTGTCATGTAAAAATAGACCCGCATATCACTCGACATACTTTGAATGACACCACAAAAAGTGTGTTTTGTTTTCTTGAAGTCAAATTAAACATCAAACTTATCGAATTTTTAATTTTGTTTTTCTCGGTTGCTCATACTAGGCGATTCATTGCTGTTTCAAATCACAGCCTGTAACTTTTAATCCTGAGATAAATGTCAACATAATGAAACTATATGTTACCAACAAACTAACAGAGTAGCGCTTGTTGAATCTTGCGCTCAGTCCGAAACTCCTAGTCCTTGAACTATGTACCTAACCCTGTTCAAAGGAACTTATACTCAAGGACTTACAGACGAAGAAGGATAGCAACTTATATAGTTTCAGCCTCATTTTGGGAAGGACAGGGGGCTTGATGGTCTGTGTTGGTCGCGGCAATGATGGTCTCTCAGTTGATCCAGCTTTCTTTTGAAAAAGCCGACGGATCGAGCCTCAACCAAGTGCTGAGGTAATGAATTCCACTCGTTGATGATTCGATAGGAAAGTCGATAGTCAGCTGACAAGTAATTTGTCCCGGGCTTGTGAACGTTTTTGGAGTGTTCTTGTAAATTCGCTGTTTTGGAAGACAAGAAAAATGAGGGCATATCAGGTGCAAATTTATCACTAAGCAACTTGAAAACTGTAATCAAGTCGCCTCTAATCCTATGATATGACAACGGGAATAGGTTTAGCTTGGCTAGTCGAGCATTATACGGGAGCTCCGCTATTTCGGGAATCAGCCTAGTTTCTTTTCTCTGAACCTCTTCCAAAAGTTCACCGTCTTATTTTAAGCAGGAGCTAGCAGCTTGTATGCAGTACTCAAGTTTAGGACGTACGAACACTGTATACAAAGTCAAAAACGTTTTAGCGTCGACATAACTAAAAGCCCTACCTATTAACCATAAAGTTCTAAAACCTTCGGCGGCTATTGCACGGCAGTTTGCAGTATCTTTGAATCTTGGCTAACGGTGACTCCTAAGTCGTTTGTCTCGACAACAGGTAGCTCAGTGTTATTTATCGTGTAGGTATCTGTACGTTGATGACCGATATGCATCACAATACACTTGGAAGTATTTATCAGCAACTGCCAGGCTTGAGACCATTCAGATAATTTCTCCAGGTCATTTTAGAGTTCTAAACTATCACCCTTAATTCTTATCGCTCTCCATATCTTGACATCGTAAGCATATAGCAAGACCGATGATGATATTAGGCTAGGAAGGTCATTTACATAAAAGTGGAATAACACTTGCCTTAAGACTGTACCCTGAGGCACTCCACTAAGCACAGTTTCCCAGCTAGATCACCCGAACTCTTTGTTGGCGCCCAACTAGGAATTCTTTTATCCACATCAATAGATTGCCACTAATCCTGACATTTCTTGGCTTATATAACAGCCGGTTGTGCGTAACTTTGTCAAAAGTTTTGCTGAAGTCAATGTAGGCTATGTTTACAGATAACGTTTGGTCCTTAAGAGCGCACTAGCTTTCACCAGTGACTAATAAGTTAGTGAGACAAAAATAAACTATTCTAAAACCATGCTGCTTCTCCGAAAGGATCCGGTTCACATCTCTATTTCAAAATAAAGTTTGTAATAAAGAAGGCCATAAGAAGTCCCCATTAATATTAAATCAGCTGGACTTGCATTAGGAATCTTGTTGTCGATAATGTGATTATACGTACATGGCTGATATGATATATCTTCACTCCTGATTAGTGGGGTAAAAATCAATCTTCCATATTGACATTAATAGACCTCACTTACTTCGTTAAAATGAATGAACGGCCGATCAGCATGAAGCTAATCTAGGTTTCCAATAAATTTAGCGATAAACCGCTACCATTAAAATACAGAGAGCAAATTATTTTTAGGATGACTAGGTTTACTTTTTTCCAGTCATTTGACATATTCGGTATTTCTTCTATCGGTAGTAATATGAATGTTTAAAAACTCGTTGACAGAGTTTGTCGTTGCTATATAGAATGCCCTCACTACATTTCGACTTCGTGTTCCTGATAACTTTATTAGAAGTAGATCGGAGAGGCGCGTAGTTTCCTGAATACTGATAGTACCCTTCAAAGATTTTA